GTAATTCTAGGATATCTTAACAGCACTCAAATGAGAAGTGAGTGTCTGCTAATGAGAATTCAAGATTGTTGTTTGGATTTTGTTCGGCAGTCAGACTTAGTTTTCTATTTAAAAATACACTCAACTGCCCACCACTCTGATAATATTATTTTAAGCTTTGTAAGTGTACTGATCTACTTTAAGAAAATCCTTATTCATTTCCTTTGCTCATTTTTTCCCCCTGCAATTGGTTGCTATGTCCTATTATTTTTATTTCTTTCCATTTTGAGCCTTGAGTTTATGGAGTTTATTTGTTTTCAGCGAACTAGGTTTTGTATTGTCTTGCCCATACAACATTTTGCAGAATTATTCTTTTAGTTACCATGTTTATATCAAGACTATTTGCACCTCTACCTCAACGTTTTCCTTTAAAAATCATCGCAATCTAATTTGTTTGTCTAGGATATACGTAAAAATTGCAAACTTTCCCAGAAGGCTAGGCTTTGTATGTTATCCAACTATAATAGTGAGAACTGTCATAATTCAAAGTCCTTCGAGCTGTTGATCATAATTTTATTATGTCTCAGTGTTTCTCCTCTGTGGGGTTCCTGTAAGTAAATGGAGGTGTTTTTTGTTTGTTTTTTTAAAGTGCCTTTGTATACTTCTAACATAGCAGTGAATGTATACATCTAGTTGACACATTTTTTTTGAAGTCATACAAACTGTCAACTTTTATCCAAAGCTGTGGAGTCTTTTCAAGTGGCTCTAAAATCAGCAGTAACTAATAAAGTTAACTTAAACAAATGTTCATGTAATGTGTTAGTTAATTTTGAAGAGTTCCATGGGAAAGTAAAAGGAAAACTTGTTGTACAATACCACAACCTTCTGTGCATAATTTGATGATGTCCAATTACAATTTCAATTATTGCAATCGAAACAGAGGCAGGCTAGATTCACCCGTCTGGTAGCTAGCTGTTGGCATTGGGCTTAGGGAAAAGGGGAGGGGGGCGATGAACAGGGGTGCAAAAGAGATCCAGCGAAGGGTTGACTGAGGGGAGCGTCTTGGCCTCTGATCAGGTGTGCATGCATGCACTGCGACGCGACTCGTCAACCGGAGCTGGGGACCGGGCAGGGCCGACTGACACCCAGCCCAGCAGTGAGCGAGATCGAAGGGTCGCTTCCGACTCAAGGACAAGCACGACGGCGACGTGTGGATGGAATGCCCAGCGGCGGCAACTCGCACGGGGTCGCATCCAACTCCAGAGGCCCGGCAGCCCGGTACGATGGGGCCGTACTGGTGGTGATGCCCAGGGGCTCATGCACTTGCACCTCGAGGCTCTGCTGGGACTGGCGGCCATAGAACCGTGCGGTACGACCAGCATCACCAGGAAGGCCTACTGGCTCGAGATTGCATCCAACTCCAGGCCCTGCTGGGCAGGCTAGGGTTGACGCCCATTGGCATCTCATGTATACATGCACCCCAGCAGGACAGAGTGCTGAGCTCGAGCTTCTCCCCCACGGCCGCACCGCGTCGAGGTCAAGATCCAGGACACGCAGTGGCCGGCCGCGAGGAGAAAGTGCAAACTCCGTGAGCGACGTGCACGCTGTGGATTGCAGCCCTCTCGGCAAGCCTGACGCTGCGCACGAGAGCCTCAGCCTCGTGTTGGAGCGGACCGGAGCACTCCTCTGTAGTACACCTGGTGCAGCAACGAAGCCTTTGTGGTGGGGGCGGGGGCGGGAGCAGGCGCAGAGGGCAAGGTGCTTCTTTGGCAACTTTTCGAGTGCCCTGGTAGGCGGCCGCCGGCACGTACTGCAGCAGTGTCACGAGTGCGCACCCTGCGCATGGCGGCGCCCAGGTCGGCGAAGATGACAAACGTGGAGCCCGCCCAGGCCTCGACCTGGCGGTGCTTGAAGTCCAGCGCCATCAGGCACAGCCCGCTCTCCTGCAGCTGCTCCAGGCTGCCGATCTCGCGCCGGCCCGTCTTGGCCATCAGGCCCTGGTAGCTGGCGGCCAGCACGACGCACTCGAGCAGCGGGTGGCGCGTGTCCCGCCCGGGCGGTGGCTGCGCCAGGAGCGGCGCCATGGTGGGCAGCAGGGTGGGCGCCTGGGAGCGGGCCAGCACCGCGGCCAAGCCCAGCAGCACGGCGGTCAGCGTCAAGCCCCACAGCGCGGGAGGGAACTCGCTCGGCGCGACCAGCACCAGGTAGCCGAAGATCTCATACTGCCAGAAGGAGAACAAGTGGTCGGTGACGACCCGGTGGGAAGCCGCCGACGTCGTTCCTCATGCTCGCCAGGGTCCTCAAGAGGCTCTCGGCGCTGTCGACGACCACCATGAGTGCGCTGGGGACGATGTCGGCGTGCAGGCGGAGGGCGCCCCTCCCAGGAGAAG